TCGGCGAGGACCATCGAGGAGCATCCTTGACCATTTGGCGAAAAAACCACGCACGAAACCGACAAAAGCACAGGGAATGGACGTCCGAGCGATGGCCAGAGGCCGCCCTGCTGGTGGCGCACGCGCGCGCCCACGGCGGAGGCGGGCCCACCGGAGCGCCGGAGCAGCCCGCGGACCGCGCGGAGGCCATGGTGCTGTACCGGGGCATCGCCGCAGGCGCGGCGGGCCTGGAGCTCAGCTCGGAGAAGCAAAGGCGGCACCGCCCCGATGTCGGCTGTTCGTACGCTCGGCGGCGAACGAGGGGGGCACGGAGAAGGCAGAGGCCTGCTCGGAAGGAGGCGTGGCTTCTCCGAAGGCCCCCGGCCTGCGGAGAGGTCTTCTGCTGGGCCTTCGGCGGAGGCCTGGAGCACGTCTGAGAAGCTGGGGGCTTTCCGGGCCCTCTGAGAAGGTCCGCCCCGTCACACTTCCTCCCGGGTTCGCCGCCGATAAGAGAGGCCCTCCGCCGGGGTGCCCTTCAGTATGGGCTCACAGGGGTCACCCCAGCACTGGCCTGCGCGCCGACTCTTGCCGGGGGTCCCTGGCCTGCAGCAGAGGAGACCCTGGCGTTGCATTGTTTCTCTTTTGGGCGTTTTCGCCTGGGTTCGGACCCCAGGGACCTTCACAGATTGATCTGGCCCGAAAAACTGGGCGAAAACATGGAGCCCGGGGCTATGGGCGTGATCTTCCGCGATGCTGCATTTTCTCTGCGGCGTCGGATTGCATGGAAGCGCACTTCTGGAGCTCCGCACGGATTTTTGGGGTCGGCGCCCCCAGCGCGCCTCCGACAGCGCCTCCAGCGCGCCAGCGGCAGCGCCTGTGGCAGCCGCGTCTGGCGCGCCTCCAGCGCGCCAGGAGAGAAGCCTCCCCCCCGCGCCGAGATCCAAGGAACCCTCGCAGAGCTCCAAAAGTGTGCGCCTGTGTCGGGCGGGTGGTACTGGGGGGGAGGTGCTCTCTGCGGGGCGCGACCTGTTTTTTGAGTCTCGCGCGCCACGGGGTCGTCGCGCATGCCGCCGAGGGGATCGTATCGTATACCCTCCGGCACGGTAGCCTCAACACGCTTGCATGTCGTATGCAATTTGTCATGGGAATCGTACACATCCGAGGCGAAGTTCCTTCACAGTCTGATTACTGACGTGCCACAGTTTTCGTCGTCGTCGTCGCCGTCGTCGTCGTCGCCGTCGTCGCCGTCCTCGTCGTCGTCGTCGTCGTCGTCGTCGTCGTCGTCGTCGTCGACAGTTACAGCTGGCCTACGCAGAACCCCCCCCTCCCCATGGGGAAATCCGCCGTGCGTCGTCGTCGTCGCCGACGACGATGACGACGACGCTTGCAGCGCTCATGCAGAGCACCTTCGCCCGCGCCCGCCCCCACCATGGAGCATCCGCAGTGCGTCGTCGTCCGCCGTCGCTGTTGCCGTCGTCGTCGTCGTCGTCGTCGTCGTCGTCGTCGTCGTCGTCGTCGTCGTCGTCGTGGGGGGGAAAAGGAACATCAGGAGCCTTTTCCGCCTGCCCCTCCTGTTTCCCTCTTTCTTTCTTTTTTGCTTGGCGCCATGTCGGCACCACCCGCTAGCTGAGGCTCATCATCCCCCCGCCTCCTGTTCATCTTTTGTCTGTAGCCACGTTAGCCCAACCGCCCCGCTACAGTGGAGGCGCTGCTGTCCCCCTTCGGGGAAGAGGGCGCCGTTCGCGTCGCGACTGTCTCCTTCCAGGTGTCGGCTGAGTGTCGGCGCTAATCAGTGGCGTCGCTGCCGTGTGTTTCCATCTGGCGGGCGACCCCCCCGCGATTCGCCAGGTCAGGGAAACAATTTTGTAATCACGCGCCACGCCAATTTTGATAGATCACAAGCTGACGTTCAATTTGGGGTCAGAGAGAAGGGCCCTCCACGGGCCATTGCTGGGCCCCTTTGGGACCCTTGTTGGCCCCTACAGGGACATCATGAATTCAGGGTCCTGTTCTGCACCCCCCGTGTCCCGACCGACTGTGCCGTTCGTTCCTTCTCTTGCCGGCGACGTGCAAGCGTTCGCCGCCTACAACCTGGGGGCGCTCGCGCTGCAGGGCGCCGCGCCCTCGGCCGCAAACCCTGGCCGCGCCGAGGTCGGCGGCGCTTCGGGTGCGGGCGGCACGGCCGCGGGCGCTGTCGGCGGCGCAGGCGCAGCCAGCGCTGGGGACGCCGCCGGCCCCGCGAGCGCCACCAGCATCCCCAGGCTTCCTCCGTGGATCAGCGCGGGGTTTGCTCGACGAGCGGACCGGGGGGGTTCTCAGTCAAATCTGGCCCGGCCTGGCCGGGCCTGGCTCGTATGAGGGAGGTAGGTAACGCCGTTGAGTGGGCGGAGCCCAGTCGGCCTGAGTGTTCATCCCCCTACGCCATGTCGCGCATATGCAGCCCCATTTCCCCGATCCCCTGAACATCCCGCGCGCTGAGCCAACTCGCGTCGTGAACACATCCCGACGGAAGGTTTTTGACAATTTTCGGCTTCTCGGGGCCCTCACTGGGCTGGGTGGCTGCCATGAAGAAACGGCTGGAGGGGTCCCCCGGAAAAGGGTCCAGACCTCTGGGGGCCCACGTTGCGACAGAGATCACGACGGCGGGGGTCTGGGTAAGGGGCAGCGATTGGGAGAGACTTGGCCCAGGGTGGAGGTTTTCGGGCGTTTCCGTCCATTCTTGGCAGTTTCCCAGCCTCGGGATGCTCTTTCCAGCACCTGCGCCTCGCCAGGGGCGTTCTGGGGGTGCCCGGATCGTCCCGGGCGGCCGCTGGAATATGCTTGACACCTCCTCCCTTGATCCTTTAGGTTTTCCGGGGTGTCGAGATCGGGACAAGCCGGTCCAGGGTGGTCCAGGGTGGAAACATCGACCCCTATCACCCACTCTTTGCTGATCGGGGCCTTTGCCTCCGCTCTGCCAACGAGTGTACGGCTTCACTATCGCGGGCCCGTCGCCGATCTCTTCGGCGGTGCATCGCCGACTCCAGATCAATGTCGCCCCTGAGCTGGCCCCCCCCCCAATCGCTCCCCCTTGCAGCACGCACGAACCCGCTGGCGACATCGCGAACATCAGCAAGACGGGCACCCCCGCGGCAGGCTCCAGCGGCGACCGCGCCAGCAGCACTGGTGCGGCGCGGGCTGCCGCCACGGCGAGCGGCACCGATAGAGCTGCGAAGGACGCTGGCTGTGGCGCTGGCGGCGGCGGCGCCGAGCAGCCTCAGGGACGTAGCGGCGCGGGCGGGCATCAGCCGAGCGCAGGGGCCAGCAGAGCCGCGGCTGCTGCCACGCGAGGCTCTGGCACCGTGACGAGCAGCGCCGGCGTCGCCGCGGCATCTTCAGCCGAGGCAGCCATCGGATGAGGGCCAGCCGAGCCATCGGCGGCCCTCCCCGGCGCTTTTCGCTCCTCGTGGGCCTCGTTGGCGCCTCTCGCCGCCACGGCTGCACCCGCTTCGAGCAAAACGGGTCAGGATAGATCCCGCGAGTGGTCCTGGGACCGATTTCGAGCGGATTTGGAACAAGCGGGAGGGCCGTTGCTGTCTCGATTGGCCTTCCTCCGAACTCAGCAGCGCCTCGGCCTCCGATCCGACCACTGCCGCGACGGCAACCGGGACCCACCCGGCCTCCCTCGCGGCTGCCAGCCTTCCCGAACACACGGGCCCCATCACTCGGACCACCAACGAGACCAGCACGCCAGACTGCATCGACGGGCCCCTCGCCACCGACGCCACTCCAGAAGGCTGTCCAGGTGACGAGCACTGTGCGCAGGAGGCGGGCCGCGCCGCGGCAGGCCTCGGAGTCGCGCCCGGCACCGAGGAGCCGCCGGAGCAGCCCGGCTGCTCCGCGGAGGCCGAGCGAGCCTTCGTGGACGTGGCCCTGTCGCGGCTCCCGCTGGTGCGGATGAGCGTCGCGCTGTCGCAGAGGGCCGCGCGGCTCGGCGACAGCGTCGGGGCGCTGCTCCTCTCGATGAGTCTCAGGGCGCGTGCTGGCCCCGTGTGTGTGTGTGTGTTTATTCCCCCGTTCAGCTCCGCCGATGGCACACAGCCAGTGTCGTGCCTCCCCCAAACCGCCTGCGTCGTATGGAAGGCCCCGGTGGGCAAGCGCACGTCGGTGCCAAGACGCGTTTTGGGGCTCATCGACCCTCTCCTCGCTGCTCAGCGACCTGGGGCACCCCGTCGGCCACGCCGACGCGGCGCACCTCTGGGACGGCTGGGCCCGCAGGAGGCCTCCGCACCTCGGCGCCGGCGGCTGGGAGGAGCGGGGCCTGCCGCACGCCGGCGGCCAGGCGGAGCCGTGCGACCTCGAGGGCTGGTGGACCACGAGCTCGGAGGCCCTGGCCGCCCAGAACGTCAGCCGCGCCTACGCGTCCTGGATCCAGGGCGGCGGGCTCCCGGAGGAGGGCAAGAGAGGAGGCGACGGTCAGTGTTACGGCTGCTCGCCCATGGAGAGCCCTCGCCGGCACGTCTGCAGGAGATATGCTGGTGCCGCTGCTCGTCCTGGAGAGCCCCGATCGCCACGGCTGCCTTCTCCCCGAGATTCTGGTCAGCGCGCGCCTGGGGGCCCGGGGGCAGGCACTTGTAATCACTGTATGGTGCCATTATTCCCAGACCCCCGACGTCGTTAATTTTTTTCACAGCGTCGACCCGCAGAGGTCTGGACTCCTTCTCCGGGACCCGCTTCTTCATCTCGCGAGATGTCTCTGACGGCCCCGGCGCCCGTGACGGGCCCCCGCGGAGGCCGAAGATAGCGAAAGACCTCCCGTCGTGATGTTTGTCGCTGCCCGAGGGTCACCACCCACCAAACCACCCCAACCCAACCCGAAGGCTCAGATTTACCCTCGATTTCTAGTGGGGGGGGGCGGGAAACATCGAAAAAACACGCGTGGAACCCTTACCCCCCCCAACCCGAAATTCGGGTGTTCGGGTTGGGTTGGGGTGGTCTGGTAGGTAGTCAGAGGGGCCCCGGGTCTGCCCCCCAGGTTCGAGATGTTCAACGCCAGCCTGGCCTCCCCCGCGGGCCTCGGCGGCGTCGAGGCCGGGCAGGTCGTGCTGCCCCGGCCCGCGCAGGCGAGGCTGCGGCACCTGCACTCCTTCCTGTGGCACACGGCGTACGGTGCCCTGCCCGGCGGGGCCCCGGTGCTCAGCGGAGGGCGGTTCGAGACAACGGCCCCGTCCCAGACCTCCTCGCGTTGCGGCAAAAGTCTCGACGGGAGATTATATGCGCTATGTGGGGCCTGTACCGGGCCTCGGGGCCGTCAAAGAGCTACTCTGGATGGAAATCTGGTCCTGGGGAAGGGGTCCAGCCCTCGATCTGGGGGTCGACGTTGTGAACAAATCACGACGTCGGGGGTCTGGATCCCCAGACATGCGACGTCCTGATTTTCTCAATGCGGGGTCCCCGAAAGTCCCGACCCTTTCACCGGGGCCGGTGATCCATCCCGAATCCTTCTTAACGCGAGGGCCCCTGGTGGTCGAAAACGGCCAACAACTTCCAGAAACGGCTTTTTCACGACGCGAGCATGTCTGGGTTGTTGCCACGGCTGGACGCGACGGCGACGGCGACGGCGACGACGACGACGAAGTGCCAGGGACCGATTTTGAGCCGCCGTCGTCTCAACGCGCCATGATGCTCCGAGGTGCCCGTCGCCCTGCAGCCTCCGGGGGCCGTGCCGCACCTGGTGGAGCACCACCACCAGAGGGGCCGTCTGTTGGCCAGCCGCACCTGCGACACCGTGCGCGTGGAAGGCACGCTTTGTGGAGGACGATCAATGGAGAGGAAGCATGCTGCCAAATAATTTCCAGATGTCTAACATATGTGTTAAATATTGTTTAAACATGTTAGAAACATGTTTGAAACAGTTCTAGAGCATGCTTGACATGTTTTAATCACATCTTTAATACACTGATAGGACTGTTAGGGTGTCCATTGTCGTGGCATCCACAAGGCACGCTTGACTGCCAGCCCCCCCCCCCAAGCGGGCTGTGAACCGAACACACGGCGCAGGGGCCCGCACCAGGCTTCGGGACTCGGGACCGTCCACAGAACGACCCGGGGACGAAATACTGGTCGCGGGGAGGGGGTCCGGACCTCTGGGTCCCGTCCTCCAGACCTCTGGGCCACCCCCTATTCCTAAAGGTTGTTTGTACACCACACCCTCTCCGCCCCAGTCAGCTTCCGCCGCCCGGGGTCACGTCTGGCATACAAAAGCCACGCCCCAGGGAGGGAGTCTTGCACACCAAACCCACGGCCAGGACCCTCGCCCACCACCCAGGGTACAGTGCGCAACAGAAACTCGTGCGGACCTATAGGGGCTGGGTTGCAATCCCTTGGAGGTTCATCTCAGTATCGGTGCTGGTATACCCGCGGCTGGAGGCCGTCACCGGCCCAGTCCAGCCGCATTCCATTTGCGCCAGGCTAGCCCTGGGCTGACTCTCGTCTGGTCCGGCTCAGTGGCCCCTTGATCGGGCTCAACAGCCCTCTAGCAGCCCGCGCAATCTGCCGCGTAAGGCATAACGTCGCTATGCTATCGTTCAGACGAATCCCTTCTTTTCTGTGCCCTCTCTGTTGCCTCCTACAGAAACTAAGCTCGGCCAGGAAAATCTCGACCACGCTGAACCCGGCCAGCTGAACTTGGTCAGGCTGAGCTCGGCTGGCCGATGTCGGCCAGGATGAGTTCGGCCTGGGCCGAGCTCGGCCTGGCCGAGTTTCGCGCTTGGCCCAGCCTCTCTTTTGCCCTACAGTCAAGACGCTGACACAAAGGCCACCGCAAGGGTCCAGAAGGGGCTCCGTTTTTCGGGGCCGTTCGGGAGAGCGCATTTATGGCCGAAGCTCGCCGTGGCCCGTGGCCAGGAAAGCCCCCTCCGGAGGAGGAGGAGGGAGGAGGTGGAGGAGGAGGTGGAGGAGGAGGAGGAGGAGGAGCGGAGCACGCGGCAGGAGAAGGAGGATGAGGAGGAGGAGAGGGGGGGAGGAGGAGGGAGGAGGAGGAGGAGGAGGCGGAGGAGGGGGAGGAGGAGAGAAGGAGGTGGAGGAGGAGGGAGGAGGAGGAGGAGGAGGAGAAGGAGGAGGAGGAGGAGGAGGAGGAGGAGGAGGAAGAGGTGAAGGAGGAGGAGGAGGGGGAGGAGGAGGAGGAGGAGGAGGTGGAGAAGGAGGAGGAGGAGGAGGAGGAGGAGGAGGAGGAGGAGGTTCTTTCTGCGGCCCTCTTGCTCGCACGCTGCCCACCAAGGCATGCTGGTGAACTGGACGTTCCACCGGCTCGGCGGGAGCGGCCCGGGCGAGGGCTCCGCCGGGCAGTCGCCCGCGCGCGGAGGCCTCGCTGCGGGCGCCGCGGCCGCGGGTGCGGGCGAGGCGCCGGCGCCGGCGGCGGACGACGCCAGGCAGGGCCGTTCACGACCCGATCCGATCCGATCAGCTTCGATCCCCAGGCTTTGATGCTGATCTCTCGGAGGAGGACATGGTACAGTCAAGACGCTGGAATAAGGAACAGTTTGGGTTCGGAAGGGGCTCGATGCTCCTTGGGTTCCTCCAGTGCTGTTCCTCTTGCCCTCCTGGGGCACGGAGGCGCGTACAGGGCCAAGAACGGGCTTCGTTCCTTACTTAGCGTGCCTTCTTTCAGCGGCTCGACTGTACTGATACCGCTACACTTGCCTTGTTTTCGCCTTTTGGTGCTTCCTGGTAGGCCTTCGTTGCTACGGCGCGATTCGCTTCGAGATTCTGGTCGGAACGCACCCCTGGAGAGGTCCGGGGAGAGGCGACATCGGTACCTTGTGGTGTCCCCACTCTCCATCCGATCCGATTTCGGCGCGAGCAAAGTCCGTCTCAGGCCGGGAGGGACCGAGTCCGATCAGCGATCCCAGAGGATCCGATTGCGGTGGGAGGAGGAGGGGAAGGAGGAGGGGGAGGAGGAGGAGGGGGAGGAGGAGGAGGAGGAGGAAGAGGAGGACCAGAGTAAACCCAAGATGTTGGCATAAGCCCTCCCTCCGAGCTCCCTCTTGGTAGGCCCCTGCAAGGATTCAGCCCCACTGTGAACTGCTTCATTGGAAGACAACAGTTCGAAAACCCTGGAGCATGCCAAGATATTCTTCTCAGGACTCCAACGCCACTGATGAATCTGACTGTTTCGTCTTGATGATCCTGCATCGTGCCAGAACGTTTTTCTGGGATCTCAACACCGCGAATCAACGTAACCGTTGCACCCTCTTATTCCTGAATCTCTCCAAAACACCACTTATGGTACGCTGATCATGGGAATCCGTGAGACTCGTGCAATGCTGAAGAAGGAATAGCAGGGGCCACATGTTGCTCAATTCGTGAAGCTCTTGCAATGTCTCAGAACGAATGTTCGTGGCGCTTAGGAGAGGGCCACATGCTCAGAATCGCCCGCCCTCCATCTATGAAACTAGTGCCTATGTGTGAGCTTCAGGGTCATACATGGAGATGAAGCCTCAGGCGAACGTTTCGGCCCGCCCTTTCGACCAGCCTCGGAGTGCGACAGGGAGAATTTATGTTTTAAGGAAACGGAATGGAGGAGGAGGAGGAAGCGGAGGAGGAGGAGGAGAAGGAGGGGGAGGAGGAGGGGGAGGAGGAGGAGGAGGAGGAGGAGGAAGAGGCGGAGGAGGAGGAGCAGGACGCATCAAGCATTGTACTTCATGTCAGAGTAACGCACAAAAGCAGGAGGAGGAGGAGAAGGATGAGCCGAGTGAACGATGCTGGCGCGCCGCGATCCGTTTCCGACTCGAGCCGGCTCAGCGATTCGATCCAGCTCAGACCCTGTCAGGGCCTCCAGCAGCGACTTTCTCCACTGCTGGGCGCGGCCAGAGCGCTACTTTCTCGCGCTGGAGGCGCAGCTAGCCGCGGCGGAACGCGCCCCTGCGGAGGAGCTCCAGGGCTGGGACGCCCTCCTCTCGGCGGCGAGCGAGGGGGGGCGCGAGAAGGAGAAGGCCTTCTCAGAAGGCGGCCGGACTTCCCAGAAGGCTTCCGACCTGAGAGGTTTTCTTGTTGCGTCTTCGGGGAAGGCTTAGACAACTTTTCAGAAGGCTGAGGGGCTTCCGAGCCTTCTGAGAGGGCCCGCCCCTTCTCACTTCCCCCCGGGCTCGCCGCCGATCCTCGACCTCACCAAGAGCTCCGACTGCCCGTGCCACGGCGCCTTCGGCTGCCGCAGCGGCTCTGGCGCCTGCGTTGCGCGCCTCGCCTCGGGCGAGGCTCGGGAGCCCCGAAACGGTGTGGTGACCGCACCGCGTGGTGAGTCCGTGGGAAGTCGTCGTCGCCGCACGGTTTGGGACTCGGGCCGTTCTGGGAGGACGTCTCGGGCGAGGGGGGCCTCCAGGGTCCCCAAAACCCTGCGGCGACGGACCGCGCGGTGAGGCCTCTTGGGATGCCGAGGCCACCGCGCGGTCCGGCAGCATCACAGTCTTGCGGGCCCCCGAAAGAGGCCTGCCCCGCGGGCTCGGGGGCCTGCCCGGAGGTGCCGCCGGCGCTGGAGCCCGCGGGCAAGCCGGCCTTCGCCGCGCCGCCGGAGGTGTGCGCCTTCGCCTACCACCGCCGCGCGGCCTCTGCCGGGGCGGTGGAGGCGATGCACGTGCTGTCGCACGCGTACAGCAATGGCATCCGCGGCGTGCCCACCGACGCTGCCGAGGCCCTCTCGAAGAAGGAAAAGCGGCATCAACACACATTTTCGGAGCTTCTCGTGGATCTCTTGGGCCCCCTTGGCGGCCCCCTTGAGCTTCGGGCGCTGGGCCCCCTTGGCGGCGCCTCCGGCGCCCCCTTTGCGCGCTTTGCGGCCCAGGGAGGGGGGTCCAGCGCCGATCGTAGAAATCCGCGCGAAGCGCCAAAGTTTATGCTAATGCAGTTTTCTCTTCTTCCACCCTCGCGTGGAGCCGCCGGGCGATGGAGGCGGGGGACGCCCGCGGACGCTTCGATGTGGCTTACTCGCTGGAATTCGGGCTGGGCACGGACGCGGACCCGGAGCGGGCCTACGCAATGTACCGCGACCTTCTGCAGACGCCCGACGCCGAGGCGAGGGGCAAAGTTAAGGGGAGGTTATAGGCTCAAGGGAGGGGAGTGGATCGACCCCGCAGCGCAATCGCTCACCTGTCGCCGATAGGCACCCCACCCAGGAGCGTGCGGCTGCGCCAGCGAGGGCTCATGGCGAGGCCTCGTCGATTCAAGCTCGACCCTCCTCCCCTCCAGGGAGGCCCCCCCCCCCCCATCTCGGAGGGAGGATAAGCGATACCAACACCTCCAGGGGGCCCACCGCCAGCGAGGAGGTCCACGATGCCTGAGCTGGAGGCTGGGGATGTCTCGAGCGAGGGGGGGGGACCACACCACCAGGGAGTTCCCCCTTGCCTTCTCGCATCTCCTCGCCCTGCTGGTGTTGGTGTCGCCTTTCCTTGTTCCTACCCATCTTTCAGGAGGGGAAGAAACACACAGACACAATTAATCCTCGATTTCTCAGAAAATATGGGAAAATATGGGAAGAGGGGGGGAAGACAAAAACCCAGAAAATATGGGAAAATATGGGGATTTGTTTTATTTGTGTGTATTTATTTGTGTGTTCCAGTTTCCCTTCAAATCTTTCCCCCCGAAGAGGGCCCCGAGCTGGCCGCCAAGGTCACGTCGGCGCTCGCGCTGCTCTCGGCCTCCGGGCGCTACCTCGCCAGCCGGCTGCTCGGCGGCGGGGAGCACTGGAGGCGCGCCCCGTGGGCCGCGGGCGGCGCGGCCGCCGAGGCCGAGAGGGAGTGAGCAGGAAGCGCAAAAGACGGCCGCCGAGGAGGAGGAGGAGGAGGAGGAGGAGGAGGAGGAGGAGGAGGAGGAGGAGGAGGAGCAGGAGGAGGAGGAGGAGGAGGAGGAGGAGGAGGAGAAGGAGGAGGAGCAGGAGGAGGAGCAGGAGGAGGAGGAGGAGGAGGGAGAGGGGGTCGGTCGGTCGGACTCGGCATTGCAGCAGTCTGCGCGCCGTTCTGCTGATGGGCTCACACCCCGCCGTGAGCCAGGGGCAACGTAACTCTTATTCCGCACGCCATCCCCTCACAACGAGGAGGGGCACCCAGCCCTGAGCCTGAGCTTGCCATGGGGCACCAGGCCCGCCCGGCACAGACCAGGAGCAGGGGCGGCGGCGGAAAGGTGCAAGCCTCAGAAGCGAAGCAAAAATACAAACAAATACGAGGGGGACGGTGAAAGCAGCAGGAGGAGGGAGGAGAAGGAGCAGCGACCGCAGCAGCAGCAACAACGACGCCACCGCGCCGAGCGGCGGCGCGCCCCCGTCAGGGGAACGATGATAACGATGTACGTCGGGCTCATGCGGTGGAGCCTCTAATCGCACGGTGGAGCCTCTAGCGAAAGCAGCAGCGTCGTCGTCGGAGTCGGAAGCAGGTACTCGAGCTCGTGCAACTGGTGCCCCAATCAATGGGAGAACCCAATTTCATGCCGCAATCGTCGCTCGACCGCGACCGCGACCGCGACCATAATTCACGCCCGTCAGCGTCAGCTTCACGATAGGTCCCTCCATGGTCGAGCCTGGCGCCCCCGACGGTGCGACGATGGCCCCAGAGTGGAGTCGAAACTGTGTATAGGTGGCGCCGTGGGGCTTGGACCGATCAAACCGTATGTATGCCCTGGCGGAGCGTTGTGCAACAAGATCACAACCAAGATGTCCTGGACGCCGTCGCACGCGGATGGGCTGGGACAGCCGCCTCTGGCCGGGTTGACGTCGCCACACATCTGGCCAGGTTAACATCACAAATCCATAAGCAAGAGCAGTAAGAGACACCACCAGTGGAGGAACGACATCGTGTTTGCAACATGCAGATACCATGGACATTCCTGACACGATCGTCGTAACGACAGTGCACGGATCACGAAAACAGTAGAACGCCCAGTTCACGACGCCCGTAGGCGCCGATTGCACCATCTGAGACTTCACCACACGGTGCAAGAACACACATACGCAACAGCCCAACAACCACGTTGCAAAAACACGCAAGGGCACATGAAGGAGGCATGGAGGAGGAGAGAGGACGGTGTAGTAGCTGGCATGCGGCTCGGTGGCCTACCCGTGTGGCGCCCACGGGAAGACGGGGGCGACCGCTGTTCCAACCCTCTTAGCCGGCAACGACGGCGCCGCGGAAGTCAGTGAATATACAGTGATGACCAGGACGAAGATGATGGTGGCATTGAGCCAAACCCCAAACGGCAGCCACGATGGCACCACGAGCAATGACCGTGGCACTAGAAGTTGAAGCGGAGGTCCTGGGCAGCCCAGGGGGCCACCGCCAAATGCCTTGCCGCCCGGGCGGCTTGCAGTCTGGCCGCCTTCCGCACCTGCGCTGCAGCACGGTGCTCGCGAATGCGTTCCTTCTGGGCTTCGGTGAGCTCGGGTGGTGGGGGGCCCAGCGGCGGCGGCTCCTCAGGGAGCACGCCTGCCGATGCCAAGTCGTCGGCAAACGACTGCTCGGTGGCAGCGTCCGGCGGCGCATCCAGCACAGGAGCGCCAGCGGAACCAGGTAGCACATCATGGCCAGGCGGCTGGAACCTGTGCTTCTCGGGGTTGCATCGCCTGCGCCACGCGCGACCTCCCGCGTCCACGGAGTCAGGGGGCCAGCCGGCATCATGGCTCCCATAAGGATCCCAGCCAGCATAGAACGCCAGGAGCTCGTCTCGCGCACCATCAGGGTCAAGAAGGTCATCAGGGTAGCGCGCGTCACCGGGGTCCCACAGGGCTTGGACGGTAAGCCACGTGGACCGGGCAAGTGCCGCGCACAGCAGCGGAGGGTGAGCTTTCCTCTTGGCACTGCGCCACTCCTGCTTGTCAGCGTCCCAGCCTCGAAGGGCGGGGTGGGCATTGCGGCCGTGAGAGCAGCGCCCATGGCCGGGCGTATCTGTGAGACATGCGCAGAACTGCTCCATGCGGAGGCCCAAGAAACGGGTGGGGGCCTTAGCTGCCTGCCCGAACTCGCATTGGTCGATATCCGCGGTGGAGGCGATGGGCGCCAACAGCAACGCCTGCAACGGAGCCCAAGAGAACGAGCTAGGGGCTCGTGCCTCCCACTCGCAGGGCTGTGGATGCTCCATCCAGCCGCTCGTGCCCACCTGGGCATGCAGGCCCAGGAGGGTGGCCAGCGCTATCAAGAGCGTGTTGCCGATGTGGAGTTGCCGTGCATGCCTCGCCGCGGCGGCGCAAATGCCCCAGAAGGCTTCGTGCGTGCGAATGGGCGGCGGCCCAGGGCTGTCGGTCCACCGCGCAGGGGGCCATGTTTCGCAGGGGGCTCCCCCCCCCCGGTGAGAATGATGCGTTTCGCCCGCACGTGCTCGGACCAAATATCCAGGGAATCCGACCTGCTGAGATCGCACTTGTCGGCGTCCAGGGCGATGTCGACACTGAGGATCACAATCGAGAAGTCGGGCGAATTGTGCGCCCATTCCAGCTGCGCCTGGCAGTCGCCGTCGCGGCGGCGTCCACAAAATAAATGAGCGATGAAGAACTCCACCCCTCTGATTTTGGCGGGAAGCAGAATCGCCATCGCGCCAACATAATCAGCTGTGCTGAATAAGTCCGAAGGGTACCGCTCCGGCTGGGCAGCGGCAGCTGGAGCTGCAGGCTGCAAGGGTTGTGGCGGGGTGACCGTCGACAAGCCGTGGAGGACCTCCCAGGCAGCATCACTGAGCACCGGGTCGGAGTCCAACAAGATAGCCTTGGCCACGTCAGGAGCAAGCAGTGCAAACAGGTCGTGAGCTAACTCCGACAGCACGCCTGCCGCTCTATACGTGGGGACCGCGGCTCGTCGCCGAAGGCGTGCATGGGAGGGTGGGGCGCCTGGGCACGCATCCGGCTGCAGTACGGGAGGGGCAGCGGGATCACACTGATGCACTAACCGCAGGTTGGCATCCAGCGCCGGGGCAGAGGCCAAGTGAATGCAAATTACCAAGCACACCGGGGAGTCAATGGACAGATGGTCCACCAGGAGGCCCCGGTTGTGAAAGACTCGGAAACGCGCTTGGCATTGCGAAAGCTCTTGCGCCCATTTGCGCGCAAACCGAGAATGCTGCCTGTGCTCACGGGCGACGTGCGCGCGCAGCCCGTGGGCCCTGTCAAAGCGCCTCCGGCACCGCGGGCGCTCAGGGGGCCCAGTTGGCAGCTGGGCAGGCGCGTCTGCCCGCGCCACAGGGGCATTGATGGCGCTTAGCGGATGCCGCGGTGGTGGCACCCCGGCAGCATACAGACCAGCGAAGATAGCGCCCTGAGCTGCGGCGGCTTTCTGGATACGCGCATGGTAGGCCGCATCGGCACCGAGGGCCGATCGTGTAAGACGCTTCCATCGGACTGGGGACTGCACAACGTACTACTCCCAACTCGCGAGCCCAGCAGGCAATTCAGGTAAGTCGGCAAGGTCAGTCGTGTATCTCTGGAGCCAACGAAGGTCGTCCAGCAGCAGATGGACCCAGGATGTCGGTTGAGAAATCTGCAGGGCGAGCCGCCTCGCAACTTTGAGGACGAAAACTCGGCCGAGCACGGCAAACACAGCCGGTGGGGCACCTCGGAGAAGTACTCCAAATAACCTTAGCCTATGCGCCTTGATTAGCGTTGCAGGTTGAGCACGGTGGACTCTGGCGAGGACATGCTCGCCCTTGATGTGGCGCGCGGGTGGGCCTCGTAGGCAGCCGCGAGCGGCGGCCCGATAAGGCTGCAACACGCCAGAGTGCACATAATCGGCGACAGCTGCCGGGAGCGACGGCCACGCGCCCGCATTGCACAGCCGCCCTGACAGCACCAGGCTGTCAGCGAAGTGAACCCTCGCATGGAGGTGGATGCTCGAGTTGCCGTGCACCTTTCGCTGGAGCGCCTTGGCCGACGATGCGGGGGCAGCCCTCCGGTAAAGAACCTCGGGCCACATGGAGTCTTTGTCGTCGCACCAGCCGCCAATATGCTGGTACGCATGCACGAAGTTCAGGGTGAGAGGACCAAGAATCGGCGAGCACACTTGACGCATACCCTGTGAAATCACCCACAAATCATGTCGTGCCTGCGCGGTGCCAGGCCCGTGGGAGGCCACTAGGGCAGCTGTCTTCCCAGGCGTATAATTGAGAAGCTGGCCGCGACGAGCCATGCCGTCAGCAACTATCACCAACCATTTTTCCCAGCTGTGCACTACGGTGGCGGCCTGGCCCAAAATCAACAGCGCGCCGTCATCAGCATAAGCGACATTGTTCAGAGTGGTCGTAGACCCCAACTGCGACGGGTCGACCAGGTGAGCCGCTAAGGACCGAGACATGTCCGTGGGAATAGCTGCTGTAATGCCCAGCTCGCGCATCTCATCGTCGACTTCCCTAAGCACGGCTGCGAAAATTAAGGCACCCAAGAGATCTGCAAGAGGCTGGCCGGGAAATAATGACCTCTGCGGGAGGGCCAATGTAGAGGCAGCCGCGCATGTAAACCGAGGCGCGCGGTAGTGCTCGACCACCTGCGCCTGCACTGCCAGCGAAACTCCAGCCTGATCCATGAGTGCGGGACGTTGGCTCAACTGCTGGGCCAACTGGTGCATGGCCTCCGGCGGTAGGCCTGCAGCCTTGACGATATGAGCAACATTCTCGTCAGAGAGGTCCGATTTCATAATCAGTTCCTTCAAAGCCCTGTAGTAGGCAGATATCGCATCCACGAGGAGGGCACCAAAGGTCAACTTGCTAGCTGCGGCTAAGTCCTGCATTTGACGAACAATAAGCGAAGCTGGCGTGGTCCCGCGGCCTGCCAGCCCAGCGAACTGGAAGGGCCCGACAAACTCGGCAACGGTAGGCACAAGCTTGTGGCGCACGCATCGACGGGCAGCCTTGCCAACATGAGACGAGACCAGAATAGATCTGCTGTTGTCCCGGATGGCGGGGTCCAGTGTGCCTTTCTCGAGCAGATCGCGATAAAAGCCTCCTTTTCCACTGTATGGGCTCAATCCTCATCAGCGTGGACTCGAGCACCAAGGGATAGTAGAGGCGCGCTAACTCGGCCGCAAAGTTGGCCATGATGGTCCCAGAAATGCGGTCGAACCCAGCAGCCGATTTGCGCGTCTTGCTGCAGGTGGCCTCGAAGAGCCGACTTGGTGGCAACGCATCAAGCCAATCGTCGGCGGCCAGAGCAAATCGGAAAGGCTTGCAGTCGAACGCTTGCTGGAGAGTGGCAGCATCAGCACAGGGAACGCGAGCAGCAAACTCAATGCGCGAGAGCTGCTTGACCCACGTATCACCAGCCTCGGCGGCCGTAGAGACAACATGGCCACTTTCGCTTAGCAAGATGGGCAAGGGGTTTTGCCCGAGCCGCTTTTTTGAACCTGCGCCAGATTGACGTAGCAGGCTGACAGCATGCGAATGTTGTCCCGCTGACCAAGAGTCGGATATCTGACTGCCAAGGTCAGGCGAATGGGATGCGGCGTCTTGCCCCGTGCTGCGCGTAACCAAACGATGTGCGAGTTGGATGCCCCACTCCCGGAGGGCCAGACTGTGGCCACGGCAAGCCACGTACACCATGCAGCCCGGAATATGCGTATGCCAGACCTTTTTCCACCCAACTGCGTCCAAGATCAGCTGGCTGCAAGTGCGAAGAGGCAACATCGGGCAGGGCCGCCCAAAAACTCATCCAGGCGAATGAATCACGAGGGATGATGTCGACGAGACGGGTGCTACCGCGAGGGACCTGGGGCATGACCTCCCAGAGGGCCGTCGCAAGAGCAATCCAACCGTCCATGAGACTTTGTCGAGCTTCGGCCTCAGCCTTGAGGGCCAACAAGCCCTGGAATGGCTGCGGGGGGCCCCTGGCTGACAACCGCCACTGGCGCGTGCGAAAGCAGAACCAGTCATGGCCCAACGGCTGCGCCCATATCAAAAAACATGCACGCATGCAGCAGGCAGTAATGCAGGACAGGTGGTGCCGAGAGCATCTCGTCAGCGAGGCTCGCAAGTCCATGTAGCCCAGCGTGCGCTCTGAGATCCACGGCTGCCTGGGCGTGCGGCGGGTCCCCCCAGGCCGCGCCTTGAGAGCGTGTTCGGCTGCAGCAACAACCGCGTCGTCTAAGAGGGCTGCGTGGTCCGTCGGGTGCGCTCGGAAGGCAACCTGCGGGACTTCGGCGAGGGCCTGAATGAATTGCTCACGGGCGTCGCTGTCATGAAGCAGCTCGGGATCCACTGCTAGTTTTGTTCCAATCATGCTGAGCGGGAGTGGACATAACAGGAACCGCCAAATTGATTGAAGTGGAGAATAGGTCATCAATACCTTTTGTGAGATCAACATCTTCATCAACTTGGTGCGACGCCACCAACGTGGCGCGAAACCAATCCTGTGGAACGCACACATAATCAATCCGATGGGTGACCCGGGAACTCGGAGACTTAGATGGGGACCTCCGCGTGCCCGTCTGTGCTGACGCGGCAGGGGCCAACGTAGCAGGCGCACAGAGGTGGAAGTCTAAGAGGAACTTGTGAAAGTAGTCACTGGGGACATCTTGCTCTGCAGCATGGTAGGGCCCAACAGCGGCCGAACAAACTGATCCGAGCGTACTATTAGCATCCGTCAACCCCAGCACAGGGTATGGCGTAGTGCGATGTTGCAAGACACTGCTGAGTAATTTCCACCGCGCGCGCTGTTCAGCAGCGGGCCGACGACTATGAGGGGCATGAGCAACAATAATATCGCAATAGAGCCCTGGAACCCGCACTGCAACCAGAAGAACCGACGATGACTGATACAACACCCTGAAATGCCAGCCTTGAATTCGACGGCCTTCTTGATATTCCAAGCCCAGGTGGACCCATACCGAGGCCCCGCCCTTGCCTCGATGGTCAGCGGCAGCGTGCAGAATAACATAGGGATCAGCTTGGACTTTGCAGCCCCTTGGCGACCGAGACTCGGGGGTGCCCACAGGTAAATAGCCAGCCTTGGCAAATTGTGCAGCTAGCCCCAGAAGTCTGCTGGGCAACGTGACACCCACTAGGCTGGCCTTGCTCTTGCCCTTCCTCGTGAGGCTCAGGGTGAGGACATTAGCGACAGCAGCGCGAACTACATGTGCAGCATGAGGGGGCGCACTCGTCGACACTGACCTCTCCACCACTTGCTGCGCAAATAACTGGCAGACGTTCGTCAGCTGTTCACCCGGCTGCATCAATCTGGCAGGGGTGGTAGGAGGCAAGCTGATATCAGGGGCATGTGCGGCCGCTGCCGTGATCCATATCCAAGGTAGGCGGGTATCTATGGCGTAAGCAGCGGCGCAGCCGGTGAGAAATCGTGCAGGGGAATATCCAATAGCCCTTGCGATGCAAGTGTTGCTAAAGTATCTGCTAATTCGTTCCACGGGGTCGCTGCATGGCGGATGCTGATTATGAAAATGACTTAAATGAAACAACAGGTGATGCTGCTGATGATGATGAAGGTGATGGTGATGGTGCTAAGGCTGCTGCTGATGAGGAGGAGGAGGAGAATTATGATGCTGAGTATGATTATGATGAGGATGGTGATGATGAGGTGATGATGCCGATGGTGATGGTGATGTATTTGATGATGTTGTGATGATGATGAGGATGATGATGATGTTCATAATGATGATGACGATGATGATGATGGAGATGGTAATGGTGATGGTGATGATGATGATGATGATGAGGATGAATATGACGATGCTGTTGCTGATGATGATGATGACGATGATGATGATTATGCTGGTGCTGATGATGATGATGATGATGATGATGATGATGATGATGATGAGGTAGATGATGATGATGCTGATGCTGATGCTGCTGCTGCTGGTGATGATGATGACGATGATGATGATGAGGAGGAGGAGGAGGAGGAGGAGGAGGAGCCCGGCTCCAGTGGAACCCCATGGCCAGGTAGTGTACATCGCGAGCCCCGCGGCCACGGTCCCCGCGGCGTCCCCCACCAGCGACGCTGCGCGGGCGGTGCAGGCATCGCCGGCCGCGCCCCGCCCCGCCCGTCACGGGGGCGGGATGAGATTGGCTTGCCGGGTATGGGGACCAGGCTGGCTCGTTGCGTGAAGATCGCGACGGAAGGTTTTTTTGGTGCAATTTGCTGCAATCCCTACGACACTTGTCTTTTTCCCCTTCCCCTCCTTTTCCTCTTCCTCCTCCTCCTTCTCCTCCTTGTCGTCCTCTTGGTCATCCTCCTCCTCGCGCGGCCAGGGCGAGTGTGTCAGGCTCATGGTCTATCTGGGGGCCCTCGCCAGGCCCTGGTGAAAAAAAACGACCCAGGAAAACTGTTCTGGGGGAAGGGGTCGAGGCCTCTGGGGTTCGATGTCGCGAACAAGCCACGACGTCGGAGATCTGGGCCAAAGGGTGCGGTGACCACACCATGTGGCTAGTCAGCGGGGTTTGGGGACTTGGGTCGTTCTCCGAGGACGTCTCGGGCGTCTCTGGCGATTGTGGCCCTGTAGAGACCCGATAGAACCGAAAAGCGTTCAAGAACCACGAACTTAAACCCTCCTCCTCCTCCACCTCCTCCGTCTCCTCCTCCTCCTCCTCCTCCTCCTCCTCCTCCGCCTTCTCGTCCGTTTGTTTCTTTGAAGCTCGAGGCGCATGTTTGTATAAACCTTCCAAGGGGGTACAAACACGCAAGAGGAGGAGGAGGAGGAGGAGGAGGAGGAGGAGGAGGAGGAGGAGGAGGAGGAGGACATCGAGGACATTAGAGCTCCGAAGCCCCCGGGGGCCGAATCCACCCAGGCATCCAACTCGAAACGTCCGAATAGGGGCCCACAGGTGGCGCGAACCCCAGAACTCCAGCACGCACATCTTACAAGCCCTGACCATTTCTACTATCGGGCGTGAAGGTACATCCTTGCGCAGCAAATGGAGGTGGCCATTGCGGAGATGAGGTCAGGAGGGAGGCCTGCCCCGACGAGCTCCTCCTCCTCCGCCTCTTCGATCCTCCTCCTTGTCCTCCTCCTCCTCCTCCTCCTCTTCATTCTCCCGTTGCACTCTTTTAGGACGGGTGAGCTCGTGGATGATTTGGTGGCGTACGTTGACCACGTGGCTTCTCAGTGGGCCACCGCTGCCTGGGATGAATACGCCAAGGTTTCGATTTTGAACACGTCGATCGATGCCGCCCTCCTTCGAGCTATGCAGAAGAAGCACCCTTGGCAGGGAGCTGCCACACCTGCTGATGTGGCGGTGCTCGCTCTGCAAAGTATGGAGTGGTCATTTCGTGGCTTTAGGACGATTCAGACGGAGGGCCAGGTGTGGAACCTGTCTCAGATCTCGCCAATTGAGTCTCGGTTGCCAGTCGGAGCCGGTGCGATCCTAGCGTCGGACCGCCAGGTACTTGGCAAGCAAGGGGAAGTGTTGTGCCTCAGGCGAGAGTGCACAAGCATGGATTGAATCAGTGTCGTGACTGTAGGCTCTGCAAGGCAGAAAGAGGCACACTTTGGCACAGGCAGTATCAGTGCCTAACTCATGCGGGGCTGCGTCAGGACGCAGAGAGGTTAGCTCGTGAGTTTTTGTTCCGTCTCCGCTCGCCTGAGCAGATGGTTTGGGAAATTAATCGGCCTTCGACAGGCCGCCTCTCGTGGCTGATTTTTTGTTCGGACGGGTTCGCCCTTTGGCTTGGCATCCCAAGGCTGCCCAGGGCTGGTTGGGCCCTTGCTCAGGTCAACAACCTTTGGCAGGTCGAGGCAGCCTGCTACGGCCCTGTTCTTTTCTCCCACTGTCCGAGGCAGACGTCCAAGGACTACGCTGTGTTCAAGCTGACGCAACGTGTGATTACACCAGAAGTGTGGGGTGGTGTTGGTTCTGGGGCGTCCGCGGGAGGTTCCAGCGCCCATCTCTGGACGCCCTTCTGGTCCATGTTCGAAGTCTCTGGTGTCATCGCTGTCAAGGCAGCGGCGCCCTGCTCGGCAGCTGACGTCACAGTTGCAAGGCAAATGTTTGAGAGAAAACGCCAATGATTCTGCAAGCATTTACGCCATGATGCTGTTTCGGAGACTGATGCGAACTTGTACAGTGGTATGTTGGGCTGCGCAGCTCGAAGTGCATTTGCAATCGGCCCCTGCGAAGCCCAGCTTGTGCCCGTTTCTGCCGAGTTGCCGCCGCCAGAGTCTGATCCTGAGCCATGGGCTCGAGAAGATGATGGGAGTGGGGGGGGTCGGCGATTTTAGTGCTGACGGGGGATGGGGATTGGACTGGGCCGATGTGGTCACCTCGGCCTTTTCTTTGAAAGCGCATTCGTTGATGTGCTGCGGGATCTAGTCTTCGCAGAGAGCAGGTGTGGCTTTGTGCTGCTGTCGGCGGCGGCGGTGCTTACTGTGAGAATCTTGGGCCGGATCAGCTACTTCTGGAGGGGTGCAAGGGGCACCCTGGATCGCCTCAGGCGAAGTCGCGGCTGAAGCCTATCAGAGCTGGCAGGTGCCCTCACGGTCGGGCTGCCACCAGGAATCTTGTCTTGAGTGGCTCCCGAGGCCTCAGCGCGGACGAGAGGGACCCGATGACAGTTCGGTTCCTCCCTCGGCCCGCCCACTCCGCCCCCCGCAGGGGGGCGCCAGGCTACAAGCCTGGCGTCCGGCGAGGAGGTGCTCCTGGCGTTCGGCATCGGTGGGGGGAGCAGGCCGGGTCCCTCGGCGAGGCCGCCAGGAAAGGCTCTGAAGTCTTCGAGAATGTCTCCTCTGCTTCCGAGGGCGAGGGAGATGTTTTCCTATGTCTTCCCATGCTTGGATGTCGCACCACAACAACCTCTTCGTTCTCCTGGCGCGTCGCCTGGCGCGTGGGTGGTTCCTCCCCTCTCTCTCCGCACTTGGCCTTGCACGGCGAGGGGTCGTTGGCTGGAGCGGTTCGCATCGTCAGAGCCCTCTGATCATTCTTCATCCTTCTTCGTCCTCGGGGCTCGCGTCGCGGCTAAATACGTGGACGACATTGGGCAATCCATGAACAACACAATTCGGGAACCTGCGCCTGTATACTATGGCTGCCTGGAGGGGCAGAATGTTGGTACGTCGACCTTCCTCGAACCTCTGGAGACCTACCAAACTCGATACGACAGCTACAGGGCGGCTCCTCGACAGGCTGGCCAACAGTGAGAGCTTCTGGGCGCCCGCCGTCTGCGCGGCGGCGCCGGTGGGAGAAACTTCCCAAAGTCGCTGGCGTTCTTCTCGCGTGCTGGGACTTGGGTGCCGCCCCCTCATCTTCGTCCTCCTTGTCAAACCCTCTTCCTCACCCCCGCCTCCGAAAGGCCCTCGTGTCCCCATCCAATGGGCCCGCCCCAGATGGTTCGAGAGGCTGCGTCGCAGGAGTGGCGCCAGTAGTTCGGTCTTGTGTGTCACGACGTGCGCTGTCCTTCATCTTGACGTCCCTAGAAGTCCTCTTCCGCCTCGTCGATGCTCCGCCTCCTCGCCCTCCCGCTCCCTCGTGCCGCGGGCCTGGAAAGCCAACCCTGTCGCGCCAACGAAGAAGAAGAAGAAGGAAAACGCCCCGCCCGCGAGGTGCTCGCCGCCCTGAAGTCACTGCTGGCCAACCCGCTGGCCGCGCACCTGACCGCCGTTGCGGCGCCGATCGTGGACGCGGCCGAGCAGCAGCTCGTCGCCGGTGCAGTTGCTGCTGCCGCCGTCATCGGTCGTCATTGTCGTCGTCCTCGGTCGGCGTTGGTACCGTTTGCTGCCGCTGTCGTCGGTCGTCGGTCGTTGGTCGTCCTTGTTTGGCGTTGTCGTGGATCCAGGTGTGGGATTCGAGATTTGAGGTCGGCGGCGTTGGCCGTCGGTCGTCAGTAGTCCGTCGTCGTCGTCGTCGTCGTCGTCGTCGTCGTCGTCGTGGGTAGGGGCTCTGGGTCTGAGGTATTCGGCGTCTTCGACGGGTTTGGTGGTTGTTGTCATCGTGTGCATCGTCGTCGAGGAGCAAGGTTCCGAGCGGGGTTCTCGTGGTCGCCGTCTCGTCGTCGTCGAAACTCCAACTTTTTGTTTGAGCGTCGAGCCCCTAGGGCTTCTGTTTATGAGCTTAAAAGTTTTGGGTTCTCTTCTCTGACTTGGGGGCCTCCGTGAAACTGTCCACAACCGTGGCGAACGAAGCCCGCCCTGAGAGGCCCGCGGGCCGATTTCTGAAGGGGGAGGGGGAGGCGGACGAGGAGGAGTAGGAGCTCCAGACCGCCCTCGCGCTGCGACAAGAATCCCAACCGAAGGGTTCTGGCAGTTTCCAGCATCCGCGGCTCCTGGCGGCCCCAGAAGCGTGAAGCAAATGACTAGTTCCGAGGGGACTTCTACTTGCGACAGGGAAAGCACAGCGACGCCGCAGCCCGCCGCAGCTCTGAAGTAGGGAGGGGCGTTAGTCCGGAACGTTGGCACGTTCCCTCGGGATCCATTCGCCCACGCACGGAAGAGCAGGAAGAGGCGGAAGAGGGAAAGGGGAGGAGGAGGAGGAGGAGGAGGAGGAGGAGGAGGAGGAGGAGGAGGAGGAAGAGGGGGAGGTGGAGGAGGGGGAAGATGAGGGATATGTAGGAAGACGTGGAGGTTGAGGAGGAGGGCGAGGAGAGCATGAGGGTCAGGAGGGGGAGGGCAGGTTGTGAATGAGGAGGAGGAGGGGAAGAAGGTGGAGGAGGAGGAGGAGGAGTAGGAGGAGTAAGAGGAGTAGGAGGAGGAGGAGGAGGAGGAGGAGGAGGAGGAGGAGGAGGGAATGAATGGAGGAGGAGGAGGAGGAGGAGGAGGAGGAGGAGGAGGAGGAGGAGGAGGAGGAGGAGGCGGAGGAGCAGGAGGAGGTGATGGACGAGGAGGGGCGAGGAGTGTAGCGTGAGATGTGAGGACAGGAGCAGGAGGAAGAGGAGGACGAGGGAGAGACGATGCCGCCACTGCCCCTCGCTGCCCGCCCTGCTGCTGCCACGTGCTCCTCCCGCGCTCCTCCTGCACGGCGCCGTTTGTGGGCACCGCGGCCGCTTCGCTGCTCGGGGCAAGTGCGGGGCAGGAGCGCCGGGCGGGGGAGGAGGAGGGAGGAGGGGCGAACTCAGGAGTACGGAGCAGTAGGGGGGAGTGAGTGAGGGGGGGGGTCTCTGGTGAGACTGTGATGACGGGGAGGAGGCGGAGGGAGAAGGAAGCACGAGGAGGAGGAGGGGCATGGGAAGGAGGAGAGCGGACGGGGAGGGGAGTGTCGAGGAGACGAGGGCAATGTGGGAGGAGTGAAGAGCGAGGAGGAGGATGATGAGGAGGAGGAGGAGGAAAAGGAGGAGGAGCGAACACGGGGGATAATGGAGGAGGAGAAGGAGGAGGAGGAGGAGGAGAAGGAGGAGGAGGAAGAACAGGAGGAGGAGCACGACGGTGAGTGAGGACCAGAAGGAGACGGAGGAGGAGCACCGAATGACGAGGAGGAGGGGAAGGAGAAGAAGGAGGAGGCGGAGGAGGAGCAGGAATAGAGCGGAAGAGGAGGAGGGAGGAGGGAGGAGTGTGGAGGAGGAGGAGGAGGAGGAGGAGGAGGAGGAGGAGGAGGAGGAGGAGGAGGAGGAAGACGGAGGAGGCGGGCGATAAGGAGTCATGAGGTAGGAGTGAGGAGTAACCAGATGGAGGGAGGAGTGAGTAGTGAGGATCAAGGGTAGAACGAGGAAGTGGAGAACGAGCACCGACCCGCCGAAAGGTGGCCACATGGCTCCTTCGGCTGCGGGCGCCGCCCAGGCGGTGGCGGCCGGCGCAGAGGTGCTGGTGGGCAACTTGCCGCTGGCGCGCCGCGGGGAGGGGGGGGGGGATCGGGCGGGCCAGGACGAGGACGAAGCCGTTCCAGAGCGTACCGGAACGCTCTCACAGCGTTCCAGAACGCCCTGAGAAGGCCGTGGCGCTCGATGCATCCCTCAGATTCGCCGGATCCTTGGGATTCTCGATCGAGACTCTCGATATATCCTCACCCGACTTTGTCCTCGACTTGGCTTCGTCTTAAGGGAGGGAGGTTGGCTGGGCCATGTGGTTGCTGGTCTTGTCTTGGAGGCCCTTGTTTTAGACTCCAACAGTTTTTTCATGGGGAGGGGGGGGATAAAGGGTCGGGGCAGGGCGAGACTTGAAAAGAAATCAGGACATCACGAAAGTCGGGACTCACTTGCAAGCCTTTTTGGCCCAGCGTTGTCTGAAAAGGCAGCGGAAGGGGTGGGGCGGAAATGCCATGCAAGTAAGCTTGCCTGAGTCTACAGCAAGACGCAGTCGTGTCCACGGCAACAGAGTAGCCCACGTAGACGTGAATACATGCAACGAGAGCACACATTGCCATCAACAGCGGCTACGGAGCACTGCTACAGCGGTAATTAAGTTCCTGGGCATATTGGCCCACATTGCTTAGCCGAGCAAGGCAACTTATGGCAAGGTCCTGGAAGACCATACGTGCCAAGTCGAAAACTGCTTGGGAAGGAGGGCAGGATGGGAGCACGTCGCGGGCGATTTCTCGCCCCCAATCCTTCGGTTCTTCCCGAAGAAGTCAGGCCATTTAGAAAAGGAGCCATCGGCGGATACATCCCTTAGCGGCTGTGCGGTCGCACCCCATCGAAGATGGACGCCCGCCCCCCCGTCGTATACTCCCGAGTTTGTGCTGCATTTTTGCTTCGGTCGAAGTCCCCTGAAAGGCAGTGATTGGGGCCGCCATCTCCCCGGTAGGATGGGCATCGGGAGCACAACAAGGCTTCGCTCGGGGGCCCCCAAACGGTGCGGTGACCACACCGTGCCGTGAGTCGGTGGGGATTCGGGGTCACCGCACGGTTTTGGGACTCGGGTCGTTCTCCGAGGACGTCTCGGGCGACAGGGGCCTCCGAGGTCCCAAAACCGTGCGGTGACGGACCGTGCGGTGAGGTCTTGGTGGATTTCGAGGTCACCGCACGGTCCATCACCGCACCGTTTCGGGACTCCAAATTCGCCCAGCTACTGCCAGAAACGTCGTGCCGCGCAGCTGCTACTGGCCCACCGCGCCTCGGCGCGACACGCTGGCCACGTCCCAGCTCCCGGGTGCCCACGCCCCGAGCCCGTCCGGTTTCGGGGCTCGGCGTTGGCGCAGGTTCTGGCCGCCCCTCCAGCCTCGGGGTGCCCTCCGGCAGCTGCTCTCCCTCGGGAGCGCCCCCAGGGGTGTCCGAATCGCTCCGATCGGCCACCCGAGTCACCACCCACCAAACCACCCCAACCCAACCCGAAGGCTCAGATTTACCCTCTATTTCCAGTGGGGGGGGGGTCGGGAAACATCGAAAAAACACATGTGGAACCCTTACCCCCCCCAACCCGAAATTCGGGTCTTCGGGTTGGGTTGGGGTGGTCTGGTAGGTAGTCACCGAGAGCCGAGCTCTGATCCGAGAGCCAGGGGGCAACAGCAGGGCGGGAGGGGCTGCGGGGGGGTCAGCGTCGACCCGCCATCGCCTGTTGGTCGCCGATGTGGGCCTGACAGGCCATCCCGCCCAGGAGCGTGCGGATTTACGATCGAAACTGATGATGAAAGAAGAAGAAGAATAAGAAGAAGACGAAGACGAAGAAGAAGAAGAAGAAGAATAATAATAATAATAAGCGGCGAAAGCATACAGTTTCTAATGTCCGCGAGGATGTCTTGGGTCTGCGCTGGATCTCCCTGGCAACGCCTCCGGCGCCGAGCGCCGATCGAAGAAGTCTGCCCGGACCTCCAACACTTATGTTTGCGCGATTGCTGTTCTTCTATGGCAGGGAGGGGGGAGGGAAGCAGGGAGGGATGGAGTACGATGAGGGTTTTCATCGACTTCTGCTTCCTGGGGAGGGCTCGGGGGAGAAACTTTCAAGGGATTTGGGCAGGGATGAGGATCGAGAGGTTCTGGGAGAGAGGGGGAGGTTGTTCGGCTCCTCCACCTCCTCCCCGCCCTCCTTTTCACCTTCACCCATCTGGTCTACGGGAGCGTGTCCTCGGGTGCGAAGTCTTCGGAGGCCTGGGGTCTTCACTTTCGCTCCGAAGGTGCACTTATGAAAGCCCGCCTCCCCCAGGGCAGGACGGGGAGATTTGCGAAGTTGGCGCAGGGTCAACTTCCCAGGTCGTCTCGTAGAATCGCTACCGCATAGGGTCGATGCACTCCAGTCGAGGGTACCGATGGAGCGCGCCGCGCCTTGCTCAATCTAAAGCACCGCGTGGCCTCCGCACTCGGAGCACGCAGCCGAGTTCAGGGTACATACCCCGGGACAGGGCGGTGCGGTGTGGCTCTCGCAAGGTCCCCGCGGGCAGCCAGACGAGAGGAAGCCCCCGTCTCTTGCCTGGGCCAGCCGCCACCGATCGAAGGCTCGATCGCGCGCCAGTGTAGCAATCTGCCCCCGCCTTGAGAGCTCGACGGGCGTTGTTCGAGCAGCCGCCGGGGGCACAGCGCCGACGCTGTGCGCAGACAGCATCGCGCTGCTGGGCCAGCGCGGTGCAGGGAAGCACTCGAGCACACGCTCGTTCCAGGGGCAGACAGCACACGTGGGGAGCCTCTACGCAATTGGGGCCTCCAGGATGTTCCGCGTCCTCCTCCCCATGATTTGCATTGTCCTCAGCCACTTGTGCTCCTCCCTGCTGGGCCCACGTCGGCTCCTGTGGGCCCCGCTCGGGTTCTCGTCCAGCCATTTTGGGGCACTTTTCGCGGGCCTTCTGGATCCCCCCCCCGCCCCCTCCGAGCCCCCCGCGGTGCTCTTGAGCCGCGCGCGACACGTCACCCTTTCCTAGAGCCATTCTTGCGTGGGGGAGGAGGAGGAGGAGGAGGAGGAGGAGGAGGAGGAGGAGGAGGAGGAGGAGGAGGAGGAGGAGGATAGACCCCCCTGAGACCTGAAGTTGAGGAATAATTTCAACATTGGAGCAATCGCCACCAGAGCCCAAAACCCCATCATGCTGCCAAATTTCTTGAGCTGGATCGATCTGGAGGGCCCTGGGGCTCGAAGCTGGGCGAAAACGCCCGTTGCGACAAAACTGCATCGTGCGGATCTCAGAGCCCTTAGGTCGTGGGTACGTAGAGGTGGAGGATGGGCACAGGTGCGGTTACGGAGGCGGCGTTACCAGTCGGAGCTGACGTTTGGTGGGAGGGGCGGAGGTGAGTTTTCGGTGGGCTTACGTCATCCCGCTGGTTCTGGCCCACCGTGCTTCGACTCGACACGCAAGGCGCGTCCCAGTCCCCCAGCATCAGTGTCCCGAGCTCTCTCCGCCTTCCGCCCGTCGGAGCGGAGCCAGACGCTACCCGCTTCCCGGGCCTGCCGCCGTGATACGCTAAGCAGAAGTTCCGAATCGAGAATGAAAGTCGTTCCAAACGTCCCATGGAAGAATGACACGTGAGCATCCAGCCGGGTTCGTTTCCTGACTCCTCGCTCCGACTCCGAACCAGAGGCTGCGGGCGCTGGCGGAGCGCGGCAGAGTTCGGAAGGAGGCCTCCAGGTGCCAGCCCAGATCGGTCCGATGATTGGTCATGTTGCCTCAGGCTCTCGCGACGCCCCGGAGGGAGGACAGCCCTCCCGCCCCTCGGCCACTCGCGGATGGGGGTAGGGGGAGGGAGAAAGGCTTCTTCGGAGCACCCCTGCTTCTTAGAAGGCGCGGCCCTTGTCTGCCGATGTAAGGCCGAGGATGGCGCCTTATAAAAAGGAGACTCCTTCTCTCCTGAAGCCTTCCCCCCCACCCCCGACCCCTTGCGCGCGCCGCCGAGCCCTCCTCGACGTACCCCTGAGCAGGACATCACGTCGCAGACGCTGCAGCTGGTCTTCAACAACTACGGCAGGGTGCTCTCGGCCACGCCGCTGCAGCCCGACGCGGCCTCCGCGGCCGCGGGGCGCACGAGCGCGCTGGTGGCGTACAGCACCGCCACGGAGGCGCAGGCCGGGCGCGCGCCGGGGGGGGGGGGGGGCGCACCGGGCGGGCATGCCTTGGGAAGCTTCCCTGTGGGCCCTCGCGGGCCAGCAGCACGTAAGAGGGACCCCTTCGCCAGTGTGACTTTTTTTGGTGCGGGCACACTGGGGTCCCCAGGCTGCAAGTTAGTGGATCGACTCATGATTGATTGTTACCCCAGCAGTGGTTTTTCTCGTCGAGTGATACGTAGAGCGTTTGTAGATCTACGAACATTCTGCGAATTTCTCATGGGTTTGATGAGCAAATCAATGTTGGGGTAAATCCATTCTGTAGTCGATCCCCCACTCGAAGATTGTTGAATGCGATGTGACAGCAGCGGCTTGCGCTGTCGGGTGTGGCTCCCCCGCGCCCCCCCGCCTGAAGCCGCGCACCAAGGGTCACCCTTGCCCAGGGGCAGCTCGTGCGCGTGCCGATCGGAGTCCTCTGGACCCCATCGCTCCGGTGCAGGGTTCGAGGCTTTTCGGGCGTCGTCGTCGGTTGTCGGCGGTTTCTCCAGCCTGGGGATGCCGTTTAGCAGCCTGGCCTCGCCGAGAGCGTTCCAGGGGTGCACGGACCGTCCCGAATGGCATCGGTCGGCCTCCAAGCTTCTTCTCGGTACGACCGAAACGTGTACGGAACGAGCGGGGGCGAAGACCGACAGCGGTTCCTGTCCATTCGAGACAGGACTTGCTGTCGGCGTCGCCGCGGGAGTTGTCCTCTGAGTCAGGAGGAAGTCGCCTGCCCAACAGCGGCCGTTGTCGATTTTGGACAACCTTTGCTGTTGGACAGCATCCTCATGTTGTCCGTCCCGGGCGTGCAAATTGGGCAATATTCGAAGATTCATGTCCTAGAGGCATTCCCTAGGGCGCGCGGGTCAGCGGCGGGTCACGCTTCCATGCAGATTCGATACGTTCCGCCGCCAAATCAGGGGGCCTTGGCTTCATGCTTTATCGCGGATCTGGCACCCACGCGTCAGATCCACGGATCCTTCATCCATGTTAGCGAGTGCCCGATTCGTGACCTTCTTTTCGAATAAAAGTTCTTGACGGCGTAGTACATATTTGTTCGAAGGTCCACGCAGATTTCTTGGATTGGTTCTGGGCACCCCTGGATGGGCCTCTGGCGCCGCCTCCTGGCGCGCTTCGCGCCGCAAGGATGGGGGTTCAGCGCCGATGCGATACATCCCGCCCGGACATCCGAAAGTTCGCTTATATATATATATATATATATAAATATATATATATATATACATACATACACAGTCGTACTATCATTACATTTTGTGATTGCTAGTATTAGTATTCGTTTGATGGTTCTATTTCTTCTTCCTGCTCTTCCCATCCCAGAGCCATAGGAATTGAACAAGTGAGGAACAACGCGAAGCACCCACCCACGACCCAACTCCGCGACCCACCCCGCGACCCACCCCGCGACCCATGTCGCGCCGCAATTGCAGGTTGCAGGGGAGCAGCCCAGATGTCGACGACTGGTGGCCCTCGGTGGCTCCCCGCGGCGCCATGTTGGAGTCTCTTGTGACTTCTCGGGCCATGTCGGGTTCTCTTGGGGCAACCTGAGGGTCAACTTTGGCCATCTTGGGTCGTCGTGGGGCAGCGTGCAGCCGTCTCGGAGCCGTCTCGGAATGATCTGAGGAGCCGAAAACCGAACCTCAGACGTGTGTTGTCAGGTGGGGCGCCGACAGTGGGGGGGGGGTCGGTAGCAAATCATGGGAGCCTTGTATACCCCCTCAATTCCGTCTGCATGGTCGACTAGCGCCGATTAGCGTTTGGGAGCCATGCAATAACACCAATTTAGCGTCGGCTCGCGTTGATTCGCGTCGATTTGGCGTCGATTTGGCGTCGATGGGCGTCGGCTCAGCGTCGACTGGCGTCGATTCGCGAGAACCGACCAGATGGTACGGGAGGCTCCCACCAGTTGCCACCGCAGGGGGGGACTGGTGCAGGTGGAGGAGGATCGACCCCCAACCCCCATCGACCATGCACCGACCATCGGGGCCTGGGCGCCCCACTCCGCACAGGAATACGCGTGATCTCGTTCTCCAGGGCCTATCTCGCGAGCTATCAGCGTTGGCGCCGATTCCACGTACCGTCGTCGTCGACGTCGTCGTCGTCGTCGACGTCGTCGTCGTCATCGTCGTCGTCGTCGTGATCGTCGTCGTGATCGTCGTCGTGATCGTCGTTGTCGTCCTCGTCGTCTTCGTCGTCGTCGTCTTCGTCGTCGTCGTGGTCGTCGTCGTCGTCGTCGTCTTGGTCGTCGTCGTCGTCTTCGTCGTCATCGTGGTCGTCGTGGTCGTCGTTGTCGTCGTTGTCGTCTTCGCTGGTGATGGTGTTGGTAAAGGCGTTGGCCGCGATGCAGGCGACGATGGCACCGACCTGGCGAATATCTCGCGGATGGCATGCCGGCCATGCGAGCACGCGACCGCGCCCTCCCCGAGGTGGCGGCCCTCACGCTCCACGAGAAGTACGAAATCCGCCCCGGCTACGGCGACCGGAGGGCATCGGATTGGGGATGGAGGAGGGGGGAAGGCGTGGGCAGGTCGGTTTTTGTTTTTTGCGTGTGCGTGTGTGTGTGTGTGTGGATATTCGCTGCCTTGGTCCTCGTTCCTGCTCTGCTGTCGTTGCCGCCGTCCTGCTGCGGCTCGCTTGCTGCCGGGGCCTGTCACTGCCGCACTGGGCCTTCCTGTCCTCGCTCTCTCATCTGTCCCCTCGCGGTTCCCCCCACTGTGGGCGTTGCTGTCGATCCCCTATGGGCGAATCCAGCTTCTCCACGTCACGCTGTGTGAGCTGACCGGGTCCGCGCTCTTTCGCTTGACTGGGATTTCGCCACGCGCGCGCGTTGTCGCGACGCGAAACAATGTGTCTGTGTGCATTGTTTGTTGTTTCATGCGCGGTTCCTGACGGGATGAGAGGCCCTGGGGGGTGTTCTCCTCCCCCTTCTCCCCGGGAGGAGGCGGCTCCCGCCTAGTGGTGACCAGCCATTTGGCATTGCCTGGGATACGGCGCGAGGAGGTTCCAGGAGCGACCTCGGCCCGATCAGTGGATCGGGAGATTTACACCCCCGGCCCCTTCGGTGCTTAGCATTCCCCCCTCCGCGCGCGCCTCCGTCGCTATTTAGCTCGCGAGGCAAACCGCTCTTCGCCAGAGGAGTGTAGCAAAGCATACAGCAACATCATTTCTCTTCCACATCTTACTTTTACCATCCATCTCTTGATATTCTTCTTATTCTCCCACTTCGTCTTGAAGATCTTCCTGGCGGTCTTCTCTGCGAAGCGCCGGCTGGCGCTTCAACTCTGGTAGCGGAGCGCTTCGGCGCTCTGCGGCCAAGCTGGGAGGGCAGTGAAAAGTGCCTCCCAGCACAAGGACTACGTCTACCACTGCGCAAAGCACAAGTACCCTTTACTTGGCCTGCCCGCCGGCAGGCGAGAAGAAGAAGAAGCGCCGCCACCACTCCCACGCGCCGGACGCAGCGGCTCGGAGGGCGGAGCGGCGCTTGGAGGTCGAGCGCGAGAGGGCTACCCGCACCTGCGCGTGCCCTCCGTGGTTGCCGCATTCGGAGTCGTGCAGACGCCGGGTGTGCCTTCGGAGCGACACCCCCTTGGTCTTCAAGGCCGAGGTGGAAGAGAAGCCGGCTGAGGAGGAGGTCGACTGGTCGCCGGACGAGAAGCCGGACGACGAGACAGAAGCTGAGCTGGAGCCCCCGCCGAGGCGCACGCTGACGCCCCCACGCAGGCGCAGCCCAACGCCCCCGCCAGGCAACCCGGCCGACGACCTACGGCGACGACCATGGCGGCAGGAAGCGGCAGCGGTGACAGCAGCGCGCTCGCGCGGCGCCAGCCGCGCATCTTCGGCGCAGCCCCCCACCACTACAGACAGGGCACCGCCGTGGCGTCTACCGAGACACCGCCGTGGTGGAGCCCAGAACTAGAGCACGACGCGGCGTACCCGCACACCATCACGGAATGGACGCGGGACGTGCGACGGTGGATGGCGGCTACCAAGCTCAGCGTGGAGCGCCAAGGGCCCATGCTGAGCCTCGCCCTCGGCACGACGGCGCGGACCATCGCAGACGAGGTCTCGGTGGAAATCCTGCAGCACGGCGCGGTGCTGGACCTCGGTGACGGGCGGGGCGCTGTGGCGAGGACAGGAGTGGATGTCCTCTTGGCGGCGCTGCTCGCCAAGTTCCCTTCCGACCCAGAAGCGCAGATGCTCCGCACAGGGCTGGAATTTTTCAAGTTCACGCCGAGCCGCGACGAGGACCTGCGGAGCATGTTCCTGAGGTTCGACCTCCTATTGGACCGTGCGAACCTGCACGCTGAGCTTGGGATTTCGGTCCCTTTCCGGACGTGGATGCTCCTCTCGCTCCTGCGCCTGCCAGCGCGCAAATGGGCAGAGATCCTGCGCGAGTGCGACCGCAGGCTCCCCAGGACGGAGCAGGAGTACCAGCTGGTCAAGGCAAGGCTTCTCCGAGACCGAGCGATCGAGGAGAACGTGTCGACTTTCCAGCCGGGCAGGGCTGGGGCGCCAGGCGTGTACTTCGCGGACGCCGACGAGGACCCGCTGCCGCTGTACCTGGCCATAGCGGCCGGCAGCACCGACGGAACGGCAGCTCGCCCCGTCCAGCGCGCTGCGATCGGAAACGGTCAAAGCAGCGAGGCGGCCCAGGACGTCTTCTTCGACCTCGGACAAGCGGCGGGCGACGACGACGGCGAGACGTGCTGGAGCACTGACACCGAGTGGTGGGAGCGGGAAGCCGCCGAGGACCCGTGGCCGGCCGACCGCCTGGAGGCGGAGCAGAGCGCGGCCGCAGGCGACCCCCTCTACCTCACCCAGGTGTGGTGGGCCGCGCGGACGGCAGAGCGCCGGTACCGTGCCGCGGCTGGCCGGTTCGCTCCCAAGCACAAGACCAAGCAGAGCCACGTCGGCGTCAAGCGCTACACCAAGCGCGGCCCTCCTCGCGCCGCCGGCGGCCCTCCGAGGCGCGGGTTCTTCGTGGGTCAGACCTTCGTGAGCATGGACCACGTGCCGGAGCTGGACATCAAGGCCTTCTTCGAGGGTCGGTCCCGCGGCTACAACCAGGCCCGCGTCAAGCGGGGCACCCCCAAGGTCGTGAAGTGCTACCGCTGCGGCAAGCCAGGCCACATGGCTGCCGAGTGCAAGAGCCCGCGCAACCTCTGCTACAACTGCGGACAGCCCGGCCACGAAGCCAAGGACTGCAAGCAGCCGCGCAAAACGTTCTTCGCCACGGAGGACGAGGCGCACCAGCACGAGGAGGAGAAGGAGGAGGAGGCACCATTCACCCTGGGCACGGAGGAGCACTTCATGATCAGGGAGGAGCAGGGGGGCGGAGGAGGAGCAGCGGCAGCAGCGACGAGCAGGGGCAGCAGCGACGAGCATGACGAGAAGCCACTTTGGGAACGCCGTGCTCCGGGTCGCAACTCAGAAGAGACCGCCGCAGCCCCGACAGCCGCTCTCAGCTCGAAGGACGCCGCCGCAGCCCAGACAGACGCTCTCAGCTCGAAGGACACAGCCGCCGCTCAGACACTCGCACAGAACCGCAGCCCCGAGGAGAGGGCACCAGCGCCGAGAGCTTTCCAGGCGGAGGAGGAGGAGGAGGAGGAGGAGAAGGAAGAGGCTCATCGGCAGGATGATGACGATGATGATGGTGCTGTTGGTGCAATTCTTGGGCAGGGACATAGAAATGTGCCCCGCGGCCCCTTGGCGCAGGACAGCGCCGTCGCACAGGCGCTGCAAAAGAGGCTAACGCCCGCGCAGCCGCTGCAACCCGAGCCGCCGCAGCAGCAACAGCTAGTTGCGCAGCCCTCTTGGGCGCCAGCAGCCCCAGCAGCCTCCCCGGCAGCCACGGAGTGGCCACCGGTGGGGGGCACGGTTCAGTACGTGAGCCAGGGCGTCGTCATCGCGTACAGCGGAGACACGGCGCTGGTCCAAGACAGCGCCCACGGGTGTGTGATCACCACGCCAATAATGAACCTGAGGCCTGATGGGAATAGAAATGTTCCTTCCCAGGCACACGTGCCTTCTGGAGGTGGCGCTGGGCATAGAAATGTGCCCGGGGCCAGCAGCGACGCACATAGAAATGTGCACGTTGCAGCCTCCAGCAGCAGTGCTGGCAGTCCTGCCACAGCATGGGCCTCGTATGCGCCCGCTGCCAGCACGCCACCAGCAGCGACGACCACGAAACACACCAAAACACCACCTAGGGATGAGGATGTTGAGTATGTGAACAGGCTTCTAGCCTCAGCTCTTCCATCGCTGCCAAGTTTCCCACCTACGACGGCGATCCCAGCACCAACGCACGCGCTGCAGGGCCACGCTCTGGAGCAGGGACCGCAACGCCCAACAGCAGCGACGACGACCACGCAGCAGTGGCCCACAGCTGAACAACGCGCACAGGCTGTTGTCAAACCAGTCCCCGAGACTCCAGCTGACAGCGCACAGCGTTTTCGCTTGACACTGTCAGCCGCCTCACACACGGCATCCTCCTTTGCTGCTGCGTCTTCAATGGCGCCGCCTCCACCGCTCCCAGAAGCAGGGCGGCCTAACCGGAGAACGCCCGCAACAGGAGCATGCGGGCAAGCAGCGAGGAGGAGTGGCAACTGCACCCCGTGCCGACACTGGGAGAAAGGACGGTGCCGAATGTCCACTTGCGTGTTTTGCCACCACCAACCAGCAGCTCCTCAGCCGAGCCCGGGGCCACTGCCCAGCTTCTCTTCTGTAGCGAACAGGTATGCTCCGAGAGTTCCTGCCGTGCCCCCGCGGTGGCAAGACAGTGCTGAGGTAGACCCGTTGGTAGCAAACGACCCCTGGAAACAGTGCGACAAACACTACCCAGTGTTCGAGTGGGACGAAGACGCACAGAGCAACCTTGAACACCAGAGTGTGCACAACAACACCGAGGCCAAGATCAGCGATGAGGAGGACGGCCTGCTGGTGGACACCGGAGCCCGCAGGAACCTGACAGGGAGGAGCCTTGTAGACCGGCAGTCATACGCGGCACAGCGGCACGGCTACAAGACCACCTGGACGACACTAGACCAGCCGAGGAGGATGAGTGGCGTGGGTAAGGGTGCTCAGATAGCACACCGCGCGGCCACCATTCACGGAGTGGTGGGCGAAGGTGATCTGATCTCCTTGTCGGCACCCGTCTTGGAAGACGAGGGTGCCGAAGTCCCCGCCCTCTACGGCCTGGGCCCCATGGCAGCGCGCAACACGTACGTGGGCACCCGTACGGGACGATTGCACATGATTCCAGACGGCACAGACGACCAGGTCATCTGGCCGAAAGGCACACGGGTGATTGAGTGCAAGAAGGCACGCTCCGGCCACTGGATGATTCCAATCTCCCGGCGGCACAAGCTGAAGAAGAAAGGCGACAAAGTCACCGAGACATTCGCCGTCTCGGCTGACAAGGGGGTCGCCGATTCTTGACAAACGCCACAGACGCCGAGCACTTTGGACGGCCGGTGCTCGAGCGCTGCAACCTCAAGGCCGCCAGCAGCCATGCGCGCCGGTTCCCCGGCATTGCGTTTGGCACCACAGCCCGCGCCCAAGCCCCCTACCACACGACCGCCAGCAACCGACGCCAGCCCCAAACATGAACGTACATGTCCGATGATATTCCTTGTAGGAGAAAGGTTGGCGACTATAAAAATGACCCTTGGCAAGTATGATCTTCAGCCACGCCGAACATGCCCAATGCTGAACTTCCAGCGTCGCCAGACTTCACCAGATGCTTGCGCTATGCTTCAAGCTATCCACCTTGACCGGCCGACCCTGGTTTGGATCCAGTGGTCACACCTGCTTCAAGAGCCTGGCAGGCGACCGCACGTCCGCACAGCCTTGGAGTTCTTCGCCGGCATGGTACAGGAGCAGGTAAAGCAAGGAGGAGACGTTGTTCTGGAAGCGAAGGCCTGCGACGTTCCAGTGCGAGACGAGCTCTTCGCAGGAGCTAGCCGCATCGGCGGCCTCTTGGGGCACCCCGCTCGCGTGCACTGGTGCGCCTTGGGTATCGCGGGAGGCAAAGACGACAAGACGGTGATATGCGGCGAGCACCTCGTGATGTCGAACAAACCCTGGCCAGACATGCCTTGTGTCTGTCAGCGCCAGAGTTCCAGTTACGTGGCGAACGACGGCGTTGCATACGAGCAGCTCGTGGAAAATATCATGACCCACTTCAACATACTCAGTCCCAGCGACATAAAACCTCCCAGCCGCGACTGGCACCGCACCCAACGACAGCTTCGAGACAAAGCAGGCGCCAGAGACTACGTGAAGCAGCAGTACACCACAGGGCATCCACAACCACCGCAGCACAAGTTTGTGACCTTCACAGGCGCAGAGGTCCAGACTTACCAAGTTGATGCACATCCCTCACAGCCAAGGGACGAAGGGACGAAGGTGCACCGCAGGCAATGGCAACGTTGCTAGCGACGCAACCTCCGCCGAACACCAACGCAGCAGACAAAGCAACCTCCACCGACGACCTTGACACACACTCACAAGCAGCCTACCCGACAGATTCACACGTCAGAGCCAAGAGCAAACGCGCACAACTAGAACGCAACAAAACGCCCGAAGAAGTGAAGGCCATGCGAAAGAAGAAACCTATGACACAAGAGCAGCATTTCGACGATTGTGGCAGCGACACTGAACCTCTCATGGATAACGAAGCCCGGACGGCACTCGCTATGAGCGATCCGTGTGGCGCCGCATTCTGGTTCGAACACTGCGGGGATTGTGTCAAGGAAGACTTCGAGGCGTATCCTGCCATCAGGAAGTGGCCAGAGGGCACAGTCTTTGATTGCGACGGGTGCCGGGGACACAAAGTCTGGCACCACCCCTCGCACACCCGCAGATCTGAGCCTCCAGGTTTGTGCCGTTACCACGACCGGCCCGCTGACGCCATCAAGTGCCCCGCTTGCTTGTCAGGAAAGGACTCCCTAGACCCAGGCCACACCGAAGTGGCTGGAGAGTGCCTTGCCCCCGAGATTCGCTATCGGGATGGACGCAAGCGCCGGGGCGGACCAGTCAGAGATCCAGGCAGCCGAGCGGTGGGAGGAGCAGAGCGGCGGAAACGCTTGACCGACGACGAGCAGCTTGACGACCCAGGGCCTCTTGGAGAAATCCTCGCCGGCCCTCCTGCTGTTGCCGAGGGTGGTTTTGATGCAGAAGATGGCCGCCCAGACTCTTCCGCTGGAGGTGGCGCGGGGCATAGAAATGTGCCTGGTGCTAGCAGCGGGGTGCATAGAAATGTGCACGCTGCAGCCTCCAGCAGTGATTCGGGACCTCTGCTCGCGCCTGCAGGCGAACCACTTCCCGACGCTCCTGAGCAGCCGCCTGAGGTCGGCCCTCCCTCTGCGAAGGAGGAGGAGTTGATGCCAGGCGAGCTGGGCGAGCCGTTGGACCCGAAAGTTCGCAAAACTCGGTCCGACGCTGGGATTGCACGACCAAGCAAGGCAGACGCCGAGACGCAAGAAGGTGTGGGAGGCAAAGAAGATTGGCGCACCGACGACGTTTCTCGCGTAATGGCTAGACTCAAGTCTGACGACGAAGAATTGAGGAAATTAGCCATTCAACGACTACACATCAGATGGTACACCTTGCACCCACGCACATGCAAGCATTCCTGCGAGCAGCCGGCGTGCCAGCACGCGCAGTAGGAGAAGTCCCTGGAGTGGTACAAGGGTGTGATGTCTGCAGAAACTGGCAGGTTCCCACAACAGCCACGGTCACGGCCACACGCCTCATCACGGAGTTCAATTACGAAGTCCAGATGGACCTGTGGTTCCTTCACAGCGAACCATCATGCACCTCATTGACGCCTGCGTGCGGTGGTCGGCGAACGGCCTCCTCAAGGACAAGGAGGAGATCACGCTGTGCACTCGCATCAGTGAATTATGGCTGACCATACACGGGCCTATGA